ACTGGGAATTGAACTTGGGACTTTGCACTTGGGAGGCAGGCAGCAGAACCAGTGAGCTAAATCCCCAGTCTAACATCTTCTGATTTGATGTGTTGGCTCTCCCAGACTATAGGATGTGAAGCCTGGACTCAACACCCTGCATTGGCTCCTTGAAATGACTTGAGTTGCCCCTTTGTCCTTTTGATTACCTTCTCCATGTTGTTTTCTCTTTGTTTTAATGACTAATTGCATATACCCTAGCAGTTACAGAGAATTTACACCTCTAGACTATAGAATATAACAATACAGTGAATCCTAACACCAGTCACACAGGTTAAGAGAGAGGATATCAGGGCCCTTCATACCCAGGTGGGTGCAGGCCAGCAGGAATACAGTATGTGAGTCTTGGAAGGGGGGATTGGTGGTCATACTTGTTAGGCTTTGGAAAGGTCCTCACAAGGCACCTGAACCATTGCATGTTGTCAGCTATCTGCTGGCAGCAGCTGGGGCCCCAGCACCTGGGTATGCATTTCCTTTGAAAGCAGGCCCCAGCCCCAGCTGGCCATTGTCACACTGAACTTGGACCACACAGGTTTCAGTGCATCCTGGAGGGCTCCTGCTTGTCCTCACCATTTCCCTCTTCAGGTCCATCCTTCATCCAGGTTGTCCTGCAGGCTTCAGGTCCCACAGCAGGAGTAAAGCCAGCAGCCTAACACAGACGGCCTCAGCTGCTCCCCCAATGGTGTAGGGCAGAATTCCTATCACAGACCCCTGACAGTTGAGATGTGCCCTCAATGGAGAAGCTGGATTTGCTTGTCTATGAATTTTGTGTTGGGTCTGATGTCTCTTTAACTGTCCTCCTGCCAGTTCAGAGTAGGGTAACAGTCTGAGCCTGCTGCCACATCTGTGTCCCTAAGCTTCAGCTGGTCCTTACCTCTGTCAGGACAGTGGGACCCCAATACTCTCAGCTCCAGGTACCAATGAGTCTAGGTGCAGAAAAAGTAGACAGGTCCTACCCTTGTGAGTGCCATATATAATTTCCCACCTAACCTGTCCATTGCCTGAAATATTACTGTCACAAAAGCCAAAAAACTGATTTAAAAAAATGAGCTGAACTAGGAATTTTTATTTCAGCTCTACCACTCTGCAGCCATGAGATTTTGGGAAATTCTTCATACCAGAATTATGAGAGAGAGAGAGAGAGAGAGAGAGAGAGAGAGAGAGAGAGAGAGATTCAGAGTTCACCTAAGTGCAATTCTATCTCCCCTTGTTGCTTCCAGGTTCATTACAGCCTCCTTTATTCCTTGAAGAATCTTGTTTCCTCCCAGCCTTGTTAGAGGAGCAAAAGAGCGGAGTCCTGGAACAGGGGCAAGGCCCATATGGCCTTCTGCAGGGAGCCAACCAGCTGGTTGCCTCGCTCAGCCAGAACACCACTGGTCCTTCTGGACTCTCTAGAGTTTGGTAGATACTTGTTCTTCTGCACTTTCCCCCTGCTGAACCAGAGGAACAGCTGAGTCACACTTGCTCCTGAACTCAGCCCAGTCCCTGGCTGAGAATGAGCTTGGAACAAGGGCTAGTTGGTGCTGGTTTAATCCTGCTTGCTGAACGCAATGGGAAAAGCACTTTTCTGAGCTGTGAGTGGGAGTTACCTGCCCTTGAGCAGAGGCAGGGTTTCTCCCGCCTCCACACTGGCTCCTTGCTCAGTGCAAATATTGGGGCAATTTGGTAACTGGGGGTGTTCAGTCCCTCTTGCTTTCTTACTCCCTTAGCAAAGACCCCACCCCCACCCCCAACAAACCCTGTGAGTATGAACTCAGCCAGGACAGGGCTCTGTCTGTTTTGAGTGCTGCTATATCCTAGCCTGCTGGGAAAAGAGGCCCTCAAAAGATATTGAAGGAATAATTCAAATCCCCTATTTCTTCTGGGTGACTGATTACAAATCATTTCCCCATTCTTCACTACTGCTCTCTTGCCATATCCTGAATGAGGGGCAGATGTGTGATGGAAAGGACAGAGGTGGGAGGTGCTCACTGAGATCAGGAGAGCTCCCTGCCCTCTGGGTACCCAATTTTGTGTTGGGTTCTGGTGTCTCTTTAACTGTCCTCCTGCCAGTGCAGAGCAGGAAAGTCTGATTGGTGACCTTCCTGACCTTGTGCCTCTCCTAAACCCAGCCAGGATGCTCCGGACTGCTGGTTTACCCACAGACCTGAGGAGCAACACAGGGTCCCAACAAATTCTCCTCAATCCATGCTCAGTAGTCGGGGCTGGAGGTGGGCAGCATGAGGAATGGAAAAGCAGGTCTCCTTCTTCATCCCAACCTTCTCTCTATGGACCAGGGAACAAGCAAGGGACTTATTTTTTGAAAGACCTTCACTTTAGAACCTCTGCTCACTCTAGCTTACCTCTAAGTAGCAATTTGTTTTTGGTGGAAATAATGAAATAAATACCCAAATAAATATTGGTTTATACAAAAAAGGTATTTAATGATATTGCTTTACAAGGAATTGTGGGTAGGTGATTACAGTGGCTTTCTGGGCTCTGGTTTTTAAAAATGAGGTTAAATATACATAAACATTTACTTTTTCTTGAGGTGCTAGGGATAATTCAGGGTCTTACAAAGGCTAGGCAGCAGCTTCACCACTGAGCTATATCCCCAGCCTCTTTTTAACCATTTTAAGTGCACAGTTTAGGCACCTCCAGTACTTTCACATTATTGTACAACTACCGCACTATCTATCTTCAGAGCTTTTTATCACCCCAAACTGAAATTCTGCATGCATTAAAGAGTAACTCTCCATTCCCGTGTCATCTGGTAATCATTATTCTCTTTTGGTCTGGGAATTCGACATCTCTAGGTACTTTGTGTAAGTGGAATTGTACAGTATTTCTCCTTTTGTAGACTGTTTATTTCACTTAGAAAAATGTTTTCAAGGTTCATCCATGCTGTAACATGTATCAGTCCTTTCTTTTTTATGACCAAATAAGATTCCATCATAGGTGTACATCACATTTCATTTATCTATTCATTCATCGATGAACTTTTGGGTTGTTTCTGCCGTTATTGTTGTAAATAATACTGTGGTATAAAAATACCTGTCCAAGTCCTCACTTTCAACTCTACTGGGTGTATGCCTAGCAGTGGAATTGCAGCATCATGTGGTCATTCTGTGTTTAATGTTTTAAGGAAAACTGCCTTGTTGTTTTCCATGGTGGCTATGCCATCTTCGACTTCCACCAGCAATGTACAAGAGTTCCAGTTTCTCTGCCTTCTTGCTATTTTCTCTTTATTTTTCTTCTTTCTAATGATAGCTTCCCCTGGTGGGTATGAAATGACATCTCATTATGGTTTTGATTTGCATCTCTTAGAAAATAAGACCCAGTAGTCTTTGGACCCAGTAGTAGGATGGACCAATTCTACCAGTTGGCACAGTGATCATGGAAAGGGACAGAGTGTCATGTAGTGGGTCTGGAGATGATGAGGCCTCTACTTTTTCTTGTACTCACAGTTGGGAGCTGTGTTGCCGTGGATGCCATGAAGATCCAGTGGACATGAGGCTTGGAATAGGATGCTGAAGGAAAGGAGGAACTCTGAGGGGCCACAGCTTGGGCAAACCATCTTAGAGCGTAGTAGAAGTGTTCCCAGAAGAAGAGCCAACGAAGGAAGGTCGGGCCTCTTTGGGCAAGAGCTCCTTGCTGATCAGGCCATAAGTGACCATGATCTTGAGGAGTCCATGGCGAAACTTTTGGCCAATGAAGGCATAGATGAGGGGGTTGAGGCAGCTGTGGAGGAAGCCCAGGATCTCGGTGGCCTCCAGGGCCCGGTCAATGTCATTGCGGCGCTCGCAGGTCTCCTCGATCCAGTGGTTTCTCATGAAGGTGTCTGCGAACAGGACCAGGTTGTAGGGTAGCCAGCAGAGCAGGAAGACGAGCACAACAGCGAAGATGACCTTCATGGCCCGGTGCTTCTGCCCCATTTGGGCCTTAAACAGTGTGCGCAGTGTGAAGCCATAGCAGAATAGCATGATCAGCAGTGGTAGGATGAAGCCACAGATCTGGGACAGGAGCCGTAGCACCATACGCCCTGTGTTCGTATTGTGCCCTAAGTCTTCATAGCAGACTGGGCTTAAGTCAGACGGGTAGACAGTGGTACGGAAAAGTAACATGGGCAGAGACAGAATCAGAGATACTCCCCACACATTTAAGCACACAAACTTGACCAGGTGCCGCTTCTGGATCAGAGTGCGTGTGGCATGGACAATGGCCAGGTAGCGGTCCATGCTGATACAGGCTAGTAGCAGGATGCTGCTGTAGAAGTTGACTTCCTTCAGGAACGAGATGATCTTGCACATGGGTGTGCCAAAAGTCCAGCCATTCATCTTAGAGGCTGCCCAGAAGGGCAAGGTTAGGGCAAAGAGCAGGTCAGCTATGGCCAGGTTCAGCAGATAGACATCAGTGACAGAGCAGGTTCTCCTGCTATATAAGACGACCAGCATCACCAGCGAATTTCCCAGCAGGCTCAGCAGGGACACAAGGGCATAGATTATGACTAGAACAAAACTGTTGATTGCTAGGGATTCTGGCTTACATGGGGCAGAATCTGACGGAATAAGGGACAGATCGGTGCTGTAATGACTAAACTCGTCAGTGTAGTTGTAATCCCATAAAATTTCTTCCATTTTCAGGTAAACTTAAATCTTGCCTATAAGGGAGAGATGAGGGTTACTGCACAGTAAAATCATGCCCAATTATTACCCATGAACCCAAGAAACTGGGATAGAAAGGACTCTTTGCATTGGTTTACATATTATATGGAAGTAATTTTTACTTCCAATTTGTGATAGGAGCAGTAAGATTATGAGACAAAAGAGTATATTTTATGAAAAGACTACAGTTTTCTTTAGTATCAGAGAGAAGTTGTCATTTTCTGTGACATCACAATCACCCAAAACATTTTTGAAACTTCCCGTTCCCTTTGTTTCCTTCCCTCCCCTTTCTTCCTTTCTATTTTATATATTTATTTAGTGTACTGGGGATTGAACCCAGGGCCTTTGAGCTAAGCTACATCCCCAACCCTTATAATTTTTTAAAATTTTGAGACAGGGTTTCATTGAGTCATTAAGGTGCCCAGGTTGAGTTTGAACTGGCAATCTTCTTTTTTTACCTCCCCAAATGCTGAGATTACAGGCATGTACCACCATGCCTGGATCATGCTATTTCTTTATAAAACTTGCCTATTCTATGACCATATCCAAATCCATAACCCACCCCCAAATAGAAGCTAGTGTTAGAGAAGAATCAGCAAGTGAAAAATCCTAGAGACTATTTCATACTCACTAGGCTCGGCCTAATTTTTAAAAGATAGGTAATAAGGATGTGGAGAAACGGGAATCCTCATACATCCTGATGAGAATGCAAAAATAGTGCAGCACTGGAAAACAGTGTAGCATTTGCTCAAAAAGTTAAAGCATGTCCCTCAGCAATTCCCATCCTAGGTACATACATAAAAAAATTGAAAATGTATATTCGCACAAAAACTTATACACAAACGCTTATAGCAGTACTTATCATAATAGCCAAAAAAGTGGAAACAAACCAAATGTTCATCAGCTGATGAGTGGATAATTTAAGGTATATACATCCAATGGAATGTATTCACCCATAAGAAGGAATGAAATATCACATAAAGGAACCTTGAAAGTATTACTGTAAGTAGAAAAAAAGTAAGATACAAAAGACTTCATCGTATATGATTCCTCGTATGTGAAGTGACCAGAATAGGCAAATTAGTAGAGAAAGAAATTAGTAGAGAAAGTAGATTAGCGGTTATCAGGGGCTAGAGGGAGAGAAGAACATTAATGAATATAGGATTTCTCTCTGGAATGATAAATATGTTCTGGGACTAGTGGTAATGGTTATATAGTCTGCTAAAATATCACTGACTTGCACACTTTATGTGAGTAACTTTTGTGGTGTGTGAATTACACCTCAATTAAAAAAAAAGATTAACCAAAGGATGCACAATCTTGCAGAGAAAATACAAATATTAAAACAACAACAACAACAACAACAACAAAGGTCCTTGGAAGCTTTTCTCTTTAGTAGATGATTGTCTCTGATATTGTCAATCATATGTAGGAAAAAAGAAAACTGAGTAGATTTAAGAGAAACCAAAAAAGTAGTGCCCTTTCCCCCTAAGAGTAATGAAATCACAACCTTCACTTTCCCAAGAAGGTATTACTTTCCCTTATAAGTGATGGGGCCCAGGTAGATAAATTGTCTCCCCAGAACACCAAGACCACAGAGAGCGAAGATTTGATCAGTCTGCGAACCTAGAAATATGTGAGGAAGAGGGTGGGGACCTGACCAGCCAGGAGGAAAGGAGGCCATGGGAGAGGTAGGTGGAATATCTGGCTGAGCCAGTGTGATTGGCAAGAGCTGAAAGGAGTCACTGGCTCTGCAGGTTCACAGACAAGAGCAAGTTTGCTCAGAGACCCAAGGTTCTGTCCAGTGAAGTCATGAGGTTGAAGATGGGTCACCTCTAAGAGCAGATGATCAGTGACATTTGTAAGGGAACAGATGGCCCAAGAGAAGACCCAGCTTTCGGAGTGGGTGCAGAGCACGCTGGATACAGAGGGCGTAGAGAGCAGACCATTTAGTCATGAGCATCAGCAGTGAGCTCAGGACTGGGTCAGCTGTGCAGAGCATGTCCCCAGCTAAGTCCTTGCTCTAGGTAGCCCTGTTTGGCTGGGCTCAGTGGAGCAAGGGGAATGGCCCCAAGCATCTGGGTGAGCTCATAATCTCAGGCCTCCAGGGTCAGCTTGAGATTCCTGGGAGCAACCACGCAAATCAGGATGGAAGGTCAGAACCTCAGAAGACAAAACCAGGGCAGGACCATGATCTCTAACTTGGAGATGAGGAGAGGAAGCCTGCTGTTGCTGTTGATGTGTTTTAATTTACCATTCTCTAGAGACAATGAGTTGGTGGTTAAAGGGGTAAAATAAGGGAAGGGAGATTGCACATCTCAGATGTGCTTCCTACCTTGCCACTAAATAATACCCTCTGGTCCTTGCAGATAGCTGCGATTAGCCCCAGTTTGCAGGTGACAAGACCAAAGCAGAGAGAGGCTCAGCAATCAGCCTGTGACCACAGAATTCAGTGGAGCAGTTTTCATTCGTGAAAAACCTAAGGAAATCCTCTAGCTGTGTGTGTTTTTAGTTTACCTTAAGAATCATCCGTTTTACAGGGAGGCAGAGCTTTTGCAGATGGGAAGGGGAGATAGGGATGGAAGGGGCAGGGAAGAGGGTAGGTAAAGGGGAAGTAAAAGGAATTAAGTCGTGACATGTACATGAGCCAATTCCCCACAATGAATGTATTTATTATGTATCACAAACATGTGCTAATAAAAAGAGAATGAAAATAAAAACCACTAGTTTTAGAGGTGACACAGCTAAACAATGTGTTATTAGTCTCCCACTAGCTTGCTGTAGATCACACCTCTGACTGAAGCCACCTATTGGGTTAAAAACGGTTCTTCTGTGAAAAGCTGCATTCACTCTCTTGTCTGGAGACAGCTGCTTTTTGGTTACTTTCCCCTCTTCTCTAAGGAAAGATGCCTTTTGTATCCTAATGATTAACTCCAGGATTAATTCTTCCCAGGAAAAGGAACTAAAATGATGCTTCATAAGTCTTTCTAATCAGTAATTTTCTTCAGATTTCCAGATTTCCAGAACCTCTGCTGACTGGTGCCCCCTATCTGATATGCCTCCCCCCAAATCCCTATAAGAGCCTTGTGATTGAACCCCTAATCAAGATGGCCTTGTTTTTGTTTTGAAGATGAGTCCCTGCCCTCCATTGTGCTGGCTTGTTGTCAATCAAGGGCCCCTGTCACCCTGCATCTCATCTTGGCGTCATCAGGCAGCAGCAGAAGTGAACTTGCCCAGTTACACAGCCAGGATTCCAACTAGGTGTAAATGGCTCCACTCACATTATTTTCAGCCTACAGTACTGCTTCTAAAAAAAAAAAAAAAAATCACATTGCACCTATTAAATATATTTATAAACTATGCATTTTTATTTATTTATTTTTCTTGCTAGGATTGGCCCTGCATGTGACAAGTATATGCTTCACTGCTGAGCTCTGCCCTCAGCCTCCTTTGTTTTGTGGTACCAGAGATCAAACTCAGAACCCTGGACTTGCGAGGCAGGTAGCCGCACCACTGAGCTAAATCCCCCTCCCCTCAGCCTCCTATTTTTAAAATAAGTTCTTGAGACATAATTGAGTCAACCCGGGCACAGTTTACTCCTATAACTTGCAGTTTTGAGCATTTCCATCTTTTGCTATTCCTTAGGTCTAGAATGAAAGAAACAGCCTTTGCTGGTTGGTAAACCAAACACCCTTGAACAGGCTACCATCTGCCGACTGCCCAGTTGTGTTCATGACTGAGACAACATTCCAGCTTGAGTGGAAATTCCAGCCCCTTGGCGTCTCATAGTAGTTCAGAAACTCCGTGGGCCGAATGAATTCTAATTAATTCATGCTATGCAAATGCAATAGCGCGTCGCATTTACAAGATCCCAAACATTTAAGGTAACCTTTTCAATACCAAAAATAAATCCAGCCACTTTACTACAGCCCCAGAATTCCTGACCTCTCCCATGTAGCCCACAAGTCCTTGTATTTAGTGGAGGAGAGGGGGAGTCTACAGTGTCCGCCCATCCTCTGACCCAGTCGTAGCCAAAGCAAGGAGGGCTGGCTGGGTCTGAGAAGGCTATGGGACCAAGGGCAGGGGGTGACTGCATACTGCCCTGTGTGGTTGTTGGAAAGGGTTGAGAAAGGGGGCAGAAATTTTTCCTTTGGGGGGTCTTGGTGTCTAAAACAAGGAAATGCAGAAGGCAAGGAGTGAGGAGCCCATCAAGGGGGAGGGTAGATGCCCAAGACCAGGCTGGGTGTTGGCGGGGTTGGGGGAAGGGAGAGAAATTCTTGGTGGTGGGAGGGAAGGGGTCCAAGACTTACCAGGATGCTGGGCTTTTCACCTGTAGAACACCACTGGGGAAGAAGCTGAGGCCAATGAAAGGGAGGTAGTGAGGAGAACTCACTGGAGGAAGTGAGCGGCCCATTAGATTGCTCAATTGAGGGAGGAGCTCCTGAGGGGGCTGGATGCTTCGGTGTCATTGAATAATTCCCAGAGCAGCTCTGGGATAAATTGTTGTCTTGTGGCTTGATGAAATTTATGTTTGGGGCCAGGGTTATAGCTCACTGGGGCCACTGCCTGCCTCACAAGCACAAGGTCCTGAGTTTGATTCCCATTACAAAAAACAAAGAAAGAGACAAAGAAACAAAGAAAAGAAAGAAAGAAAGAAAAACAAACAAAACAAAAACAATAACAAAAACAAAAAGTTTATGTTGGGAAGGAACCTGTGGGATTTTCTAGCCAGTTTTTCCATTTCACAGAGGAGGAAATTGAAGTCCAGACAAATGAAGGATCACTGGGCTCTCTCTCATCTTCCACCATGATGTCAACAGCCCTGATGTGAACAGCCCCTGGCAGTTGTTATCTGACTCTTTCTGGCCCCTAGCATCCTCCAGATGCCCATTCTGGCAACTCAGCAGCATGACTGGGCTTTCACCTGAGTGGGGGTTGGGCAGCTGATTGACTGCAGCAATGGAACCTAAACCTCTGCTGAGCTGGGCATTTTCCTCCCTGGACCCAGTTTTATCTCCTCCTGCTTCAGAATCTTTAGAACCTCACAGACTCCTGTTCCACTGAGAATCTGCACTTCCAACCCAGGGCCCCATTCCTTCCCCTTTTCTTTTGTATCCTACCCTTTCAACCTTCTGCTCTGATCAGAGGCCCAGCTTTGGGTGTTGTTCTTTTCTGCTTACATGCTTGTTGTTGTTTGAGGACCCAGTCTCTATAGGAGCTCCCATCCCACGCTTGGGGCCTAAACCTTTTAATGTGGAAAGAAAAATCTTTTGCTAAACGTAGTAATCCCACCCAAGTCCAAACATATTCTTGAAAATGTGTTGAGTGACTCTAAGAATATATTTTATCCTATATGCTACTGATGAAATAAAAGGATTAATACAGGTAGAGCCAGGAACATTTTCCCGTTTCCTCCCAACCTCCATCTTAGTGAACGATGTCCCCCCTTTCTGTTGTTCCTGCATCCCAGGATCCAGAGAGCCCCCAAATCTTGGGGCAGACTTAGAATTTGTCACCTAGGGCTGGGGATTTAGCTCAGTGGTTCCAGCACCCGCTTTGCAAGTGCAGGGACCCGAGTTCGATTCCTGGTGACAAAAAAAAAAAAAAAGAAAAAAGAAATTGTAATCTGTAGAATCTGTCACCTGTCTTTCCCATATTGGGCAAGAATGCAATGACACCTGGCCAGTGGACGCTAAAACCAGAGCAAGGTTCATTACCCCTGGAAAGAGGCAAAAGAGAGTAAAACTAGCTGAGCAATACTGGGCAAACTACCTTCCCTTTCTGAACCTCAGTTTGCTCATCTATAAAATGGGGCTATCAGTAGAATCCAAGTCACTGGGTTGTGGGAGTATAAAATGAGGGATTACCTGGGGAGTACTTAAGACATACCCAAAGCACAGCATTCACTTTTACGGTTGTGATCACTCATAATTGGATAGTTTATTAACAGACAACACAATGATTCTCTCCCACGACATCCCCAGTCAAGGGGTAGCAGCAAGCTCACTTTCAAAGCGGACTCTTATGTATGTCTTCATTTGCTTTGACCCAGAAAATAGTAGTCATATTAGGTCCAATCTTGAGTGCCTAACTCAGTTCTAGTTACACAGGTGAAGTGCTTTTCAGAATTTGTGTATTTTAATCCTCCCAACACCCCCCTGAGGTAGGCACTTTCTGGATGAGGAAACTAAGACTCCAAGAGGTTAAGCAACTTACCTACCGTGACACAGCTGAACTGGGGTCTAAACAGTTTTAAAAATATTTTTAATCTGCCCCTAAATAAATCGTATATTCTGTCCACCATGACAAGGGACGGGGCCAGACTTGGGTTTCTGAGCTCTGTTAGGTACTTCTTTATCCTAGGAACTTGAAGGCTAGGATGGCAAAGCAGTTGCAGACTGGACATTTCCCAACCGCCCCCTTCTTGATGTTCCTTAGGTTGATTTCCTTTCTTCTGAGTGCCCTGCATGCAAACGTGTGCCTAAAAGGGAGTGAATGAAGAGCTGGGTTCCAGTCCTGCTTCTGCTGCCGATAGCCTGCCTGGATAAGGGTAGATGGGCCTTGTTCTACTTAGCCACATCTAGCTATTTAAATATCAATTGATTAAAATAAAATAAAACTTTAGTCCATCTATCATACTAGCTGCATGTCCAGTGCTCAGAAGCTGCAATTCGCCAGTGGCCACCATATTGGTCTGTGCAGACACAAAACATGTCCATGACTGCAGAAAGAGCTTTTGTACAGCACTGTCTAGGCACAGCCTTGGTGACTTTAGCTCCAAGCTTTTGCAGTGTATCACCCCTGTTTCTAGGGACCTTGGGGAAGGCTGGTTTCCAAGTCCCTTTCATCAGGGATATGTCCTCAACAGCCCTGAGACAGGTCAGCTCACCTACCTGCTGTTGCTCAGAGATGCTGCTGTGACTGGAGTGGGCACCAACACCCTTGCAGTGACTCGAGGCTTGGGAGCAATCAAAGCTGTTGGACAGGAAGAAAGTGAGACAGCCTTGCTGGGGAAGCTTCTGACTTGGGTTGCCAAGGGGGAGGTCCTGGGCTAGCCAGCGGAGGCGTCACACAGCAGCAGCGAACTCTGACCTGGGACTCGGATCCCAGGCTAAAATCCTGCCTGGTGATCCTGAGATGAGCTCTGGAGATGTTCACACCCTCCTGCCTGATGGTTTCTGGAGGAATCTGACAGACTGAAGGTGGAGGCTTGCTTCTCTGAGCATTGGGAACCTGCGCCTCCTTTTAACAAGGAAGATGCAGGCGTCACAGCCCCCTCCAACTGACTTGCTTAAACTTGCACGTGAAGGTTCTCCCTCACTCACAGGATCAGCTTGAGAAGTGTTCCTTCCTCTGTTTCTTGGGAGTTCCTGCCCCTGGCTGGGAGATCCACTGCCTTCCCATCCTTGAGATCCTGCCTCCTGATCCCTCTGTCCCTCAACTGGCTCTTTTCCTTCTGTCCTGAGCTCGCTTATGTCTTCCTTACCTTCTCTCTGTTCTGGGACCCCATTAGTTTCTATTCTGTGGTGTCCCCCTTGTCATAGGCAAATTTAATGAAAAAGCAGGCTGACACAGAGCTGTCTTCACTTTCTAACTTCCTGCTCATTGCCCGGTAAACACACACTGCCACTGGCTTCCTTCCTACTGCCCCACAGAAATAGCTTTTGCCATGGTTACCACTGGGTTGCTAAACCTAGCAAATGCTTTTCTTCAACTAAACTGCTTTAGTATTATAAAAATAAAGCAAGCATACTGGAATCAATACAAAAGCATAAATGGTAAAACTTGAAATTCTCACTTCTCTTTTTCTTCCTCTTTTCACCCATATCTTTCCCCAAGGTACATCTTTCCCTTGTAAATACAAGCACTTGTTCTTCTCCCTTCTTTCCTCAATAAAGAAGGCATTTTTATCATCCATACTGTCTGACTGTTAATGATGCAGCACTGGCTGATTCTACTTCAGTTTGTATAGATCTGTCGTTCATTTCATTGACCACATAATAACCCACGGTATGGGAGTAACATCATTTATTCGACAGTTAATTACTTTATAGATAACTATCTAGATGCTTTCTATGAGCATCCTTAGGTATAAGTCTTTGGGAACTTGGATGAGTATGTTTGCACACTAAGTATGATTTTGCTGGCTAATACCCATTGCATGTATAACTTTGACAAATAGTAATTTATTACCTTTCAAAATCACCATGCTTATTTACTCCTCTATTACCCTGTAGATCACTATGAACATTGTTCAGTCAGATAACTGGAAATAAATGACATCTCATCATTTAATCTGTATGTTCTTGTTTTTTTTTTTTTTTGAGACAGGGTCTCACTATGTAGTTGAGACTGACCTGGAACTCACTGTGTAGCCCAGGCTGGTCTCAAACTCACAGCGATCCTCCTGCCTCAGCCTCCCGAGTGCTAGGATTACAGGTGTGCGCCACCATGTGCAGCTCTAATCTGTATGTTTTTGAGTTGCTGGTGAGTGTATCTTTCCCTATAGCTATTTGTATTTTTCTTTTGTGAATTATTTATTCTTATCTGTTTCCCTTTTGCATAGATTGTCATTTTTTTATCGTTGATTTGCAGGAGCTCTTTATTTTATTTGGGAGTATTGTATTTTGAATATTTGCTGGTTATATTAAAGTATTTTCTCTCATCATGCTGTACACTTGGATGGAACCCAGGGTCTTACACATGCTAGGCAAATGCCCTACCACTGAGCTATACCCACAGCTGCTGCTGTATTTTTTTAAAACAGTGACGGTGAGGGCCAGGGATATAGCTCAGTAGTGCCACCCATGCCTGGCAAGTGCGAGGGCCTGAGTTAGGTCTTCAGTACCAGAAACAACAACAACAACAACAACAACAACAACAACAACTGCCCAGTGATGGTGAACCTTTTAGAAATTTCAGGAATACAAACAGCCCACTGTGGCACACATGTCCTAGGGTCACCACCACTACTTTAAAACTTTGTGGTGAAAAAGTGATTCCACCTGCATTCGTGGTGTCAGTCTGCACCCTGTATGGGCCAGTGTCTCTCAAGCAGTGTCTCTCTGCTGTTGCTCTTAAGCAGCCTCTCTCCCAAACTTCAAACTCCAATGTGCAATGACCTCCTGCAAATTCCCTGAGGTCCCACAGATGCTGGGAACTAAACATATAGGAAACAGATTGCATTGGCTCTCCTGACACATGAGCTTTTTCTCTCAAGCACCTCTCTTCCACTGCTCAGCCCAAGACAGAGACGTGCAGGCCCCTCACCTCACATCCTGCTTGCTTTTCTTCTCCTTAACATTGCTCTGGACTTGATAGCTCTTGTCACCTTCACGGACCATGTTAGGCAACATTTCATCCTCTGTTGCATAAACTACAACAGTCATGCCATGGTTGCAAGTTCCGGATTTGAGCGGGCTGATTCACTTATTAGTTGTGCACCTTACTAGCTGTGCACAAGTGATTTAATCTCACTGGCTCTCAGTTTCATCATCTGTAAAATGGGCACAATGGAAGAATCTAGCACAGGGGACTGTTACGGTGATTGAATGAATGAGTGTCTTTATAGAGCAGTGAGGACAATGCCTGGCATGGTTAGCTGCTGCTGCTGTTTCTGCTGGTTCCCATCTTCCCTCCCTTGCTCCTTCTCCTTCCTCCCCTAGACAATCTCTGCCTCAGGTTTTCCCTCTTATATCAACCCTCTGCTCTGCTGCCAGATGAGCTTCCTAATATAGGGATCTGATCACTTTCATTTCTTCCTAAAACCCTGCAAGGATCTCTGTGGCCTTCAGGTACAGTTGAGGTCCTGACCTGAGCACTTGGTCCCCTTGCTGCTGACCCCTGTGACTTCTCTGTCCTGTTTCTGCCAGCCGCACCCTAATCCAGCTGCTGGGAGTCATTCGCACTTCCTGCAGGGATGTTCTGGCTTCCCCTTGAGGTCTTGGTGCCATGGTCCCCTTTCCTTGGAGTGTTCTTCTCCACCCCCGAGTCTGGTCAATCCTCCTTTTTCCTTCCAATTAGCCTAGGTTTTGTAATTATCTGTCTGTTTGGCTGTTTCTTCCTCCACATTTTGAAAGCTGGGCTTTTATGTGTAATATTTATCTCTGTGTTCCCAAACCACTCACAGCATTAGCCATATCACTAGTGATCAACATATTTTTTGAGCACTAAATGACATGATGAAGTTTGGAGAAACTGTATAAGGAGTATTCCATTGGCATCTGATTTAAACAAATAACGAGGGCTGCTCTGGTCACTTGCTGCTTCACTGCTTTGCTGCCCTCTGCCTGCCATCAACTATTCCTCCTCTACCATGCCACAAGTCAGCCTACTATGGACTGAAACCTCTACAAATTGTGAGCTGGAATAAACCTTTCCTCCTTTAACTTTGGGTGTTGGGTATTTTGTCTTGGTAAGGAGAAAAAGTAACTAAGACAACTTTCTCTTTCTCCCTTTGTTTCCTCTCTCTCTCTCTCTCTCTCTCTCTCTCTCTCTCTCTCTCTCTTTTGTATCAGGGATTGAACTTGGGATCTTGTGCTTGCAAGGCAGTTGGTGGCACCACTGAGCCAAATCCCTGGCCCTGCCTGCCTTTCTC